AGGGCCGGCAGCCAGCCGGCTGCGGACTGGCAGGTGGGAACCGCTGGCATAAGCTACACCAGTATAACTATGCTATTTCTGATATGACTGCATCTACAGTACACCTTATATTGGCTATGTTAGAAATGAGAGATGCTCCAGATACAGTTATATTGGTAAAGTTTAAGTGTAGATTACACCTAAGTTGTGATCTCTTTCCTTTCACCGTTTCAAATTTCCCCTTCAGTATTTAATCTTCTTTTTGTTTTCCTAAAAAGAGTTTGCAGTGTGTCAGTGTTTAAACTGAATGAAAAGTTTTCAAGAGCTAAGATCATAAAACATCCTTGCTTCCACTGGATAATACCAAATGCATCTTTTTTCCTCAAAAGTTTTTTTTAACTAAAGCATTGCAAGCTGAAGATGAACCCAACAAAAATATGAATACATAACTGTTAAAAAAACTGCTTTATGAAGTATGATAGAATAGACAGACAGAATAAAATTGATGCAATCAACCACCAGGTAATATTTTTCGTAAGTCACCTGTACTATCACAAACACCTTTAATCTGAATCCTTGATTTCAAAGGTAGCCAACAATGTAATGTCACAGACTTTTTGAATTTGCTATTGAGGAAATAAAACTAATGAAGGCAAAGCATCAATAAGCCAAGCTTAATGTGATTATGCAACAAATGTATGAAAAGAACTGTAAAGAAAAATTGGTTACATGCCACAACGCCACATGAACATTGGATAAAAACAAGCATTTCTATTACTCTGAAAACTGTAACCTTGTCTATACTCTCTTGTTTTCTTCCAAGTGCACTAGTGATGATTTATAATTACTAAAATGTGAGCACACTAAAATATATGTGCTGTACTATATTATAGTGATACATCATACACTATGGAGGGCTAGCTCAGTGGTTTGAGCATTAGCCTGCTAAACCCAGGGTTGTGCGTTCAATGGAGGGGGAGGAGGGTATTTAAGGATCTGGGGAAAAATCTGTCAGGGATGATACTTAGCCCTACTGTGAATGCAGGGGATTGGACTTGATGACCTCTCAAGGTCCCTTCCAGTTCTATGGTATAGGTAAATTAGCTGTAACCTTGTCTATACTATAACATTTAATACTTTGCAGTTTATTCCTGAAATCATGCAGCTTCGCTCATGCCAACAACGTTAATGGAAAGGAGATAGGGCTCAGGCATTTTCACCACAGTTGTGAAAGTCTGCTCAGTGTAAGTACAGGCAGTCCCCGGGTTACGCGGATCCGACTTATGTCGGATCCGTACTTATGAATGGGGCTTTTATCGCCCCGGAGGATGCGGGTGGCGAGTCTCCCAATTCAATCCCAACAGAAGATTTCAAGTGCATTTTCTCACCTTCAATCTTTTTTTTGAGGTCTTTCTGACCTGAGCTGCTATTTCCTCCTCTTCCCGTAGTAGATCCTTGTAAGAGCGTTTTTTCTCTCGTTGGGTTCTACCTGCTGCCAGCCCCACGTCATCAATGCTTCGGTCAACCTCTAAGCACTCTATATTTGAGAGTGTGGTGAGAAAAGGAAGGATTGAGACACCCCATTAAGGAACACAGGAAGCAAATTCATTCCACATAAAATGCATCACAATCACAGAGGTAAAATTTGAAACAGACTGTTGTACAAAAGAATACTTGGGAGTAGGAATTAGTGTGCTGTGCTGCCCCACCAGAAGGGAAAAGGCTCAATACTGGACAATAACCTACAAGAGATATAAGGTTCCATTCCTGGTCTTGGTTTCTTTCTCTCCAAAATCAGAAGCAGCTGGGGTGCTGCTGGGTTGGTCCAGTAGTGCCGCACCTCGGCGCTGTGGGGACCAACCCGGCAGCACCCCAGCTGCTCTACCTCGGGCTTCCTGTAGTCAGCCACTGGTCAGTTTCAGCAGCAGCTGACTCTGGACGCCAGTTCCAACTTGCGTACAAATTCAACTTAAGAACAAACCTACAGTCCCTATCTTGTATTTAACCCAGGGACTGCCTGTATTCAAAATAGGAAAGAGGGGAATGTTATAATTCAAAGGATTGGTAAAGTGATAAAGAATCTTTAACCTGTAAGCCACTGATTCAAACACAGTCCACACTATTAGTGATAAAAAGCACTTATTACTTCTGCTAGTCTCAAAAATAAGGTAGTCTTCCACCAGTTCCCAGTGGACAGATGTCCTCTATATTCCTAAAGTTGGTTCCTCAAGCTCAAAAAGGAATCATTGGTTTGCTACACTAGAGCCGGTATTGTGCCTGTTCAGTGGACAGGACTTCCTCAGGGCTGACAGGTAGCACTTTTTCACCAGCACATTGGTCATTTTAAAATTTAGATAGGGCAATGGAGGGGAAAACTATTACATTTTGACTTACCTGGGCTACAAAAATTTAAAAAAATTCTCAGCTAACATGCTTGAGCTGCCAGTAAATATCATTATAGTTTTTTTAAGAGTTACATTTTAACAATATAATATCCTCTACATATTGATAGTATAACCAGGTAACCTAAATCAGCCTTTACATGATTTCCTAATGTGGCTTATTTTGATGTTAACAAAATATATGGGGTCTTTAATCACATCTTTCAAGATTCACATGCAACACTAACTAGTTAGGTATATATATAACCCACACCAAAAATTATGCTCTTGGTTACACACATGCCACCTCTCTGAATTCAATGTGTGTTGATGAAATGACACTATTTTAGCCCCTAAATCAGATTAAAGTTCCCACCTATCAAAATAGTTCACTATATTACAAGAAGTATCATGAAGTTCTCCCCTGTAATAACTGTATCATGTGCATCTCTGATAGACACAACAATAATGACAAAAAGCACTTGGCTTTAAAGAGAAATTTAGTTGCAATCTTGATTATGGATTGGCTAGCGGTTATTCCATAATTTAGGCCTATTTGAACATCTAGTAATAGTGACATATCACCTACCACCAATGTTAGCAAGAGCCATTAGGAGTAAACTTACTCTGTGCCCCGCCTTATTGGAATGAAGAAGTTGATTGCAGACAGGGGAATGAAAAAACAGGGTGAAACATGAACAATGTTAAAAGAAAGCAACAGAAAAGAAAAAAAAAATGACATATGAATAGCAAAATAATGATTTTTAATGTTATAAAAGAAGTGCTAAAAGTCAACTTTACTGAAACTGTGTCCAAAACAATACTCGAAGACTTTTTCAAGCTGCCACTTCACAAAGTATTCCGACTATGTTATAACTTCCCAATGAGCCAGTTATTGCTTTGAATATTTTTCTGTCCACCCACATCCACTACATGCATCTGATGAAGTGGGTCTTCGCTCATGAAAGCTTATGCTCCAATAAATCTCTTAGTCTATAAGATGCTACTGGACTTCTCGTTATCTTTTTGAATGACACATTGGACTGACTCACTAAATAATGATGGATCAGAAGTCCTGCCCCTATTCCCCACAGAAATCTCCACTGAAACCAATTTCATGGATTTGTAGCCTTTAAAGAAATTGGTCACCTACACTTCTGAAGAAAAAAAAAAGTGTTGTTCTAATGAATGAATGTTTAGGAAAGCAAACAATGCAGAGGGGCAAATCAAGACTCGGAGGGGAAGGGGAAACGGGACCCCAAAGGGACAGACGAGCCGGAACGCGGCCTTCGGGCGCACGGAACGAGGGGCTAAGGAGCCAGGGGCTGTTTTATAAGCAGCGGCTTCGCTTTCCTGATGGCACGACCCTGCCATGAGGGGGCGCGTCTAGCAGCGGGGCGGCCTAAGGAGCAGTGAGGGCCCCGCAAGTCAAGTGCCGGGGGCCTGCTTTCGGGGAGCGCCCCAAGGCAGGAGGATCAACGCAGCTCTGCCATGGCCAGGGCCGGATTAAGACTTTTAAAGGCCCTAAGCACTGAAGAGATTATGGTGCCCCCCAAATGTAATTAAAAATAAAAACAATACTATATCATAAAATAAAATTGTATTTTTTGAAGTGACACAAAACCGACATGTTTTCTTAAATTAAAATAGCTTCTTTCTAGATTTTCTGAGTGCAAAATCGCAGCTCTGCCATGGCCAGGGCCGGATTAAGACTTTTAAAGGCCCTAAGCACTGAAGAGATTATGGTGCCCCCCAAATGTAATTAAAAATAAAAACAATACTATATCATAAAATAAAATTGTATTTTTTGAAGTGACACAAAACCGACATGTTTTCTTAAATTAAAATAGCTTCTTTCTAGATTTTCTGAGTGCAAAATTCTGCATACGTTCATCGAAGCTGACTTGAGAAAGCACATCTGCTTCCATACACAACAGGGAAAGTGAATCCAGTCTGTCCTGACACATTGTTGGTCTCTGAGGGTTTTATATTCAGCTGAGAAAAAGAGCTTCTGCGGGGTTCTGACTTTTCCCACCAGGACAACTTCAATGCTTTTTTTAAAATATCGAATTTAAAAAAAAAAAAAAATCCCTTTTTTTTTCCTCTTGGTGATATCAGGCTAACACTTCTGTTTCTATGTTTTTGAAAATGATTAAAAAGCTTTTATCCTTGTGTATTGATGCCTAGCATTGCAGAACAGTATGAATTTAATCAGTTCGTATTTGAAAGACAAAATGCTTTATGTACGAAGCTGCATCAGCCAATAAAGTTAAATGGCATCGAGCTGATAGTATTACAAGCCTTGACAGTTTACTGAACCTGTGCATTATTGATACAAGAGCAGTTCAATTGAGAAATATTTCTTTGGTGAAGAATCGGTGCATTACTTAGTCTTTAGAGGAGCACTTACGCTAATTTGTGAGGCTATAATAATGTTGAGGCTGTGAGATAGAAATGTAAGCTCAAATGTTCAGTTGTGTTTTATGCCATTAAAAAGTAGTTCTTTTTATGTCTTGCATGTTCTGTGACTGTTCAGAAGCCTCAAGGTCTAAGTGAAGATGGTGGCTTATCTAGGAGCCTTGATTTTTCAAAGTTAATATAATATATTTTGTTTTGTCTTAAATATTTAAACACCATGTTCTCTATCAAAATTTGAGCCAAAGCATGTGTATGTGAGAGAGAGAGGAAGAGAAAGAAGAAAGCGCTGCAGTTATTTACATACATGTTTGCATATAGTGATTAATGGTTAATCTTTAAAAATAACTATAAAAATCTCACTTTTCCACATTTTCATTGTGTGTCAAGGATCAGTGAACAATATGTCTGCTTTTCCAGAATGTTAAATCTATTTTCTGTCTTTGAGAGCTTTGTAATTCTTTCACATATCAACCTTACTTAAATAATTCTTGTTTCCAGTTTGAATTACAAATGCTTTTTCTTCTCATCTTCTATTAATACCCGTGTGGCCCCGGACTGTGATCTCACTGGCTCCTCGTGCAACGTGATGAAAAGTACAGCTCCTTACAGGGTGGTTTGCATCAAAGGCCGCTGGGATTTGGGTTTTGAAGAACTAGTTATGTGTTTCTGTCATACAAAATAGACTTTCAGCAGACACAGTCAAGTAATTTAAGACACAATGTGACTGGCTGGACCTGGGAATTGTCATTAGAAATCAGGATGTAAAATCCAGTTTAATTGGTTAATCAGTAAAACATATTGTTAACTGGTTAAAGGAGCTAAGTGGGGCTTCTCCAGCCCAGCTGAGCTGGCATTTTCACATCAAAAGCTATGAATGGGACACATCCACCCCACGCAATTAGCCTCATTAATACTTGTCCTACAATTGACAGGTGCTTCTGCTGATATATCTGTCTATCTTCATTTCTAATAGAGAGGTAGCTTTGTTAGTCTGGTCTTGGTAAAACAAAAGGAAAAAAATATGTAGCACTTTAGAGACTTGTTAGTTTCTAAAGTGCTACATATTTTTATCTTGATTTCTGTTATTTCCACTATAGTTCACTGATCAAGTGGGTTTTACCCATGAAAGTTCATGATTCTATATATTTTTGTTAATCTCTACGGTGTTACAGGTCATTGTTTTTAAACATACAGACTAACACAACTATCCTTCTACATTTCTATCACTACAAAGTGCACAGTGCTCTCTTTATTTTTTGTTACAAATATTTGCACTGTAAAAACAACATAAACAATATTTTTAATTCTTCTATTGCAAATAATGTAGTGCAGTCTAGCTGAATTTATAAATGCAGAATTGTGTAAAACAAACTTGCATTAAAAAATAAAACTATGTAAAATTTTAGAGCCTACAAGTCTATTCAGTCTTACTTCTTGTTCAGCCAGACACTCAGACAAACAAGTTTGTTTACATTTTCAGGAAATATGCTTCCCACTTCTTGTTTACAATTGCACCTTGAATGAGAATAGGCATTCATGTGGCACTATTGTGTCCAGCATCAGAAGATATTTACATGGCAAATGCCCTTAAAATGTAAATGTTCCTTCTTGCTTCAACAACCATTCCAGAGGACATGCATCCACGCTGATGATGGAGTCTACTCAATAACTATCTAAAGTACAATAGACTGATGCATGTTTGTGAGATGCCACTAGCAGATTTCCTATTTTGGTGATTTGGATTCTGTAGTTTCCAGATCAAAATAATGCTCTTTTAAGACTTTTGAAAGCAGGCTACATGCCCAGTTCTTCTCAGATTTTGGAAGGCACTTCAGATTGTTAAAGCTTGGGTCAAGTGCTGTCTTTGGAAATCTCACATAACATCTTATTTGCATTTTATCACATCTGTGGTGAAAGTATTCCTAAACTAAACAACATGTGCTGGATCATCAATCGAGATTGCTATAACATGGAGTATGTGGTCACTTGTGTGTAAAACAGAGCGAAGACATAAAATTCTCCCCCAAAGAGTTATGTAGCATTTAATTTTAATGCATTGCTTTTAATGACCATCAGAATGGAAGCTTGTCCCAGGCAAGGTGGTGTAAGCATGGAGGGGTTTAGCATATCTGGCATGTAAATATCTTACAGTGCCTGCTTCAAAAGTGACATGTAAATGCCTGTTCTCACTTCCAAGTAACATTTTAAATAATAACCAGGCAGCATTATGTCTTGTAAATGTAAACAAACTTATTTGCCTTCACAATTGACTTGGAGTGGACTTGTAGGCTGTAAACTTCTTCATTGTTTTGTTTTTGAGTGCAATTATGTAACAAAAATCTGTATTTGTAAATTCCACTTTCACAATAAAGAGATTGCACTACAGTAATTGTATGAGGTGAATTGAAACTATTTCTTTTGTTTATCATTTTTAGAGTTCAAATATTTGTAATAAATAATATAGTGAGCACTTTACACAATATTCTGTGTTGTACATGAAATGAATATATTTGAAAATGTAGAAAAACAAAATATTTAAGAGATTTCACTTGATATTCTGTGGTTTAGCAGTGTGATTAAAATTGCAATTAATCATGATTTTTTTGAGTTAATCGTGTGAGTTAACTGCAATTAATCAACAGCCCTAAATCAAAGTATTATTATTCATAATTCTTCATATACAAGACTATCCCTGCAAAGAATGCCAGTCTTAGGGAAGCATTATTCTGATGATTCTAGTGATGATTAAGTTGGATGTTAGGAAAAACTTCCTAACTGTCAGGGTGGTTAAACGCTGGAATAAATTGCCTAGGGAGGTTGTGGAATTTCCATCACTGGAGATATTTAAGAACAGGTTGGATATACATCTTTCAGGGATGATATAGATCAGCATTTCCCAAACTATGGGCTGCGGTCTGGTACTGGGCCACGGGAAAAATATACCGGGCCTCAGCATGGCTGCCAGGGTGTTCCGGTCTCCCAGACTGCCCGTGCAGTGCTGGGTTCCCCAAGCCGTCAGCCGGGCTGGGCAGATGCAGTCGTATGTTTCAGGCTCCCGGCAGAGGCATAGTGAGGGTTACCAGGTGAGCTCTTATTGCTGGCTGTGGAGGGGGAAGGCAGGGTTGGATATGGGCCGCAGGGAAGCAGGGTCGGGGCAGTGGAGCTGCCCGGGGGAGATAGGGAGGGGAACCGGCTGGGAGAAG